GCTAAAGGGTAGTGTGATGGTTGATTATAGGGGTTGTAAGGATATTGAACTCGATTGGGGTGTTAAAATGCTGATAAGGTTGAGTATAATAATTTCTGTTAGCTTCAGGAGTAAGATAAGAGGGAGCTGGTAGAGTTCTGGGTTGATGGGAGTAAGGTCCTTGTGTGCCTAACATAGCAGGCTGGGTTCTCATTGTTGTGTTGGAATTTTGTAAGCTAGGGTTCAGTTGTGTTTGAGTCGAAGGTCCAGGAGAAGTCTAATTTACTCCCACAACAGTATTTCGAGCAGGGGGTACAAGGTTTGAGGTTGGAGTACTGCTAGGAAGTGAAACACTTGCTGAAACTGAGCAAGTACCTCCCATGGAGTTGGAAGTTGCCATTTCTCCTATACTGAGGGGAAGATCACTAGGAGAATACAACTCACCTCCTCGTGGATCTGTGTCCTTGCCGCGTTCAGGTCTTCTGGTGCCATGTATAACCTTATTAAGCACTTATCTCAAGTCGTTGACAACTTCTTCATGGTTCTTGCATGTCTGCACTTGAAAAGCTTCGAGCTCATCTTGACGAGCTGTGAAGCTAGGAATATATGTAGACATCTTGTGTAGCATCTCCATAACCTCATTGGATTCTCCATACATGGTTTTCCACAGAGCCAAGAAGATGCTCTGATACCACTGATGCCTACGGCAATAATGAAACAGTAAAGGAAAAGGAAGCTAAGAAGTAAAATTAGGGCAAAAACTAAAAAGGGTTTTCAATATATCATCTGAAACTCAATGATACTTACATATAGACTCCACTACTCACTGCAAAACAAAAATTTAAAACTACTTCTGAAAGGGGATATAAGTGTCGAACTAGAATAAATCTATGGACCTAATTATAATTTATCAAACTTGCTTTAAGAAACCTATAGGGACTAAACTGCTCACTTAACAACTTTCATTCTATCCATTAATATATATCTCCTAATGGCTAGGTACAACTATTTAAGCTCCGTGTACATGCCACGCAAGCTGAAGCCATTCTCATTTGCATCACCCAATAATTGGTATTGGTGTAATTACTAGGGTAGTAATTAGTAATTACACAATCTAGTAATTACGATAACATGTTTGTTTGTCATAACATAATTACAGTGTAATTATAAGCGTACTGTTTGGTTGTACAAGTGTAATTACACGGTTAAATTAAATTTTAAATGAAGTAATTATCAAAACTTAAGAGTTTATAGAATAAGTGTATGCTTATAAATGATTTTTATGTAAATATAAATGATACTAATTTAGTATTTAAGATGCATATTTTTTCTTGAATATACATTAATTAATAATCATATATTTATAACTAATATTGTCGAGGTGCCCAAATTAATAATATTCAGTTTAATTAATTATAAAAACTAAAAACATATATTTTGTAAGAATATCATAGAATCCATGTTTGATAAATTAAATTAATATTTATAAATATAATGTCATAACATTATTCAAATATTTGACAAAACTAATCTATCAATTATGACTAAAAATGAATAACACGCAATGTGAAATAGCAAGCCAATACTACTAAAACAAGTAAATTGGAACCATAAATATAACAATTTCAAAATCCAAGAAAAAAAAAATAGTTTAACATATGTCAAATTCTAACATAATAAAAATAAGTTCCAATATAACTTAAGATTAGGAAACATAATAAGCTTATAACCTCATTCAATAGCGAAATTCTACTTTAATGACATCACTTATTATATGCCAAGTTTGTTAATGGCTCATTGTTTCTAATATTAGGAGGTGTAGTTTCAAAAATTAGCTAGAATAATAACACATTTACGCTAAATGAAGAAAATAAAATAAATAAGAAATAAAATATACGAGCAATTACATGAAATCACAATAAGTAAATGTAGAGAAATAAAAATTAAATAATGTACAAAGAAAAATATATTTTAAAATATAAAAAGAAATTTAAAAGTAAAGTTAAATTTTTTTAAAAATAAATTAATGGAAATAAAAAGTTATAAAGAAATTAAATTAAATTAAAATAAAATAATAAATTAAAAAGTAACTTTGTAATTACACAGTGTAATTACCACCAATTATCACCTCTCCTTTGAGAATTGGGTAGTGTAATTACACCTCTCCAATTACACCCAATTCCATGATGACCGAGTAATTACTTGGCCAAACAAACATGCCAAACTGTGTAATTACACCCAAATCCAAATCCAAGGTGACTTTCCAAACATGCTCTAAAATTTTAACTTATACATGGGCGGTTAATATTATTTGTAAAATATCTTTTTCCTGTAATTTGACTAAATTGAATAGATTATTTACCATTCTCTTTAGATTGCAATCTATGTTTCATGTAGACAATTATTTAATTGATTTTTATGTGATTTAATAGTGTGAATGTGCAAAAAAATTAACTTTTGTTACTGGTGTTAAAATAGTAGTAAGCTTCTTTTCGAAGAACGTTATATTAAAAGAAAAACTAAAGTAAACTAAAATAAAGAAAACAAAGCGAGTTTATGAAAATGGTGGATAAAAAGTGTGGTTCAAACTAAATAAGAATTTAAGTTATAGAAGTGAAAATCACAGACTGAAATTGTAGGTTATTTGTGATTGTGTCATGTGTGCATCTGTCTAGACAGAAAAAGAAAAATATAAAATGAGTAACATTTCCTTAATATTTGTTAACATGTAAGTGGTCTTAGTTCCATGAAAATTGTTTGGTTAGAAAGTCAAATTAGGTTTAATTATTTCTTAGCAAATTTACTTTTTTCAAAATCGAAAATCTGATAACCTTGTATGTGCTGTTTGAAAGTTAATATTTTACTCATATCACTTAATGTATAGTGTTTTGTTACTCATTTTATTTAATTTGATGATAAGCGAAAAAGAAAAATAGGAATTACTTAACTTCAATTTCACCGCTACATTTTTAAGTCCTAATTTCAATCGAGTGATAGTAAAAGGTTATTATAATGATAATATTTTTTATAATTATATGGTAGTTTTGTGGAATACTTTATAGAGAAAATATCTATTCTATAAATTATTTTCTGTTTTTGATGTTGGAGGACATGCTGAATTTTATTTGTGCAGAAATAAGTTTTATTTGCTTAACCATTTAATAGTTTAGGGGCTTATTTGGACTTTTTTTTAACTCAGAAAGAAATATTATTTTATACGAAAAATGGTCAAATATGCCTCTGAACTATTGAAAATAGAGCAATTATGTCCTCTATTTGTATTTGGGTACAAAATTATCCTTGATGTGGAGTCTGTCAGTCTACTAGTGGGGAGGGGCAAAAATGAACAACTTTATTAACGGCAACGGCAATTTTGTATCCAAATACAAAAGAATGACATAATTACTGTATTTTCAATATTTCAGGGACATATTTAACCTTTTTCCGTATTTAGGTTTTAAGGTTATAGCCGTGAGTAGGGGTGTGCATGGTTCGATTTGGGTCGGTTTTTCCCTAAAAAGAAACCAAACCAAATAAGTCATTTTTTCAAATATTGAAACCAAACCAAACCAATTAAGTCGGTTTTTTATCGATTCGGTTTTTCGGTTTTTTCGGTTATTTGTCGGTTTTTTCTTAAATATGAGACATATACTACCAAACGCATATTCCGGCGAGTACATTTTCAACGTAACGCTATCAAACCAATTGCTCTTTGAGAAATCTATCATTTACCAAGATATATTGATGACAATTGACTCAAATAGTGATGAATAACTTAAGTACTCAATTAAAACTCGACTATTTTTAACATGAAATAAATTCTTGTACTTAATAAAAGAAAACTACTAATCAAACTAGAAGGAAAAGAATTAGATTATTATAATAGCAAAGAACTAGACTAAAAATACAAATGACTAATATGTACCATAAAATTTTAGAAATTTTATATAAAAATATACATATATATAGGTGTAATAATAAATTTAAATAGCTACTTTTATAGTCGGTTTGGTTCGGTTTTTTTTTATTAAAACCAAAACCAAACCAAATTTGATCGGTTTTTAAAATTTAAAACCAAAACCAAACCAAACCTAAAAATATCGGTTTTTTTGGTCGGTTTGGTTTGGTTTTTGATTTTTCGGATTTTTATGAACACCCCTAGCCGTGAGCATTACAATTCATCAACGATTGGTGCAGAATTGACCATTCAGTTAAGTTTTGTATAAAAGACATATTTTGAAGTTTTTCCCTGTCGTGAGTAGGGCTGCTTATCGGGCGGATTGGGCGGTTATTTACTCTTAACGGTTTGGCTTATCGGTTATCGGCTTTTAAATGTATTAATCCGCTAGCCACCCGATAAGATATCGGGTGGATTGGTATCGATTTAGCTCTTATCGGGCGGTTTATCGGATTGTTTGCTGACCGTTGTGACTCAAAATAAAATTCATATGCTCAGCAGACTACATTCCAATTTATAGAATATGGCACCTAAGAAGAGAGCTAAATAGAAGAAATATAGAGCTACATTCCAGCGTATTTCCCAGTAAAATCATTTCTGGGGATGAGCCTATTAACAACTTATAACTATCAGAAGAAATAGAAGAGAACACTGGGTATAACATATGACATCAAAATTATCTAATAGTAACTAACTGGGATAGTAAATTATAACTAAATGTCTAATAGTAAATTAGTAATAGATAGAGTACTGGAAGTGGATGAAGGGTTTTTGATTATTTAATATATATATGGATAAAAATAAATTTTATATATATATATATATANACAGATACCAATAAGCCATTAAATTTCGATTTCGGTTCGGTTTTCGGTTTCGGTTCGGTTTTGAACACCCCTAGTCGTGAGGGCACACTTGGAGTGCCAAATAAGTTACCCCATACCTTGAAACCACTGTAAAAAAAAAGTTACTGTCAAACGGGTCACCCAATAAGGTAAAAGTAAAACCCGATTTAAACCCGAATATGATTAGTTAATTCCTAGCAAAGAAAGAATAGGTTTTTGGAAGGGTTTAAGGCAGCCTCCATTGCCAACCCCCTCTTCCTCCTCCTTCCCTTTCTTCTCTTTTCCCCCATTGTTTCTTCTCCAAGTTTACCTTTTGATGCTATCTTCACACTTTACTCAGTTCTCTACACCTTTATTTCGACTTATCAGTCAATTCGACTAACCTTTTTTCTTCAGTTTTCCAATAAAAAAGATCCACTGAATATGTGGAGATATATATCAAAACACGCTTATTCAAGAAAATTCAGAAACAGCCATGATTCAGCTTTATTGGGTTTTTCTCAGTATTCTTCTTCTTTTGGAAAAACTAGACCTTTACAATGCTTGTGTGAAGAAAGTACCACACACCCCAACTTGGGTTTGTCTCAAAATTCAATATTTTCTAGAATTAGTAGAAAAGTTAGGCATTTAGAAGGCATTTGTGAAGAAAGTTCTAAAAATCCTCACTTGGGTTTGTCTCAAAATTCAACCTTTTCAAGTGTTAAAGGGGATTTTCGCATTTGCGGTAAGAGGGGTAGTGGATCTTTAGGACGTTTAAGGAGTTATGGTAGTGCTGCAGAAGCTATTGTGTCTACATCAGAAGAAGATATTGATGAAATTCAAGAATTAATAGAGGAAATGGACAAAGAAAATGAGGCTTTGAAGGCCAATTTGCAACCAAAGCAGCCTAAAACAATAGGTGGGATGGGGGTTGGGAAGTACAATTTTCTTAGGAGAAGGCAGATAAAAGTAGAAACCGAAGCGTGGGAAGAGGCGGCGAAGGAGTATCAGGAGCTATTGATGGATATGTGTGAGCAGAAGCTGGCACCGAACTTGCCTTACATGAAATCGTTGTTCTTGGGTTGGTTTGAGCCGTTGCGGGATGCTATAGCTGCTGAGCAGAAGTTGTGTGATGAAGGGAAGAACCGCGGGGCATATGCTCCGTTTTTTGATCAATTGCCTGCTGAAATGATGGCTGTGATTACAATGCACAAGTTGATGGGTTTGCTAATGACTGGTGGAGGAACTGGTAGTGCTAGAGTTGTACAAGCTGCTTCCTACATTGGAGAAGCTATTGAGCACGAGGTTCGTGTCTCTCCGCGCAAAATTACATTTTATTGCTTTGTTTGAATATGTATATTGCATGCAATTTTATGTATTTGGATAAGATTCTAGCACATTATATTGACCAAAGATAAAAAAGAAGAGGACGATACCAACACTCCCTATATAGGTTGCTCGCTCCTGTATTGGTTTTTTCCTCTCTAGGTTTCTTTGGGTCCTTTTCTTCGACCAACAGAGCAATGTAGTTAGATGGAGAGTTTTCTTTATTTGTAAGTGCAGTTTATGATCTACTAACTATTGCTGCCTGTACATTTGTTTGGATGTTACTTATTTTTTGGTGACCATGTGCTAAGGCACTCCCCTCACATCTAGAAAGGATAGGTAGTCAACAGAGAATAGAGCGATAGCACAAACACATTAACTGAAAGAGATTAAAAGATTACATCTGTAGAGGAGAGGGGAAAGCTGCTTAGATAGTCCGGTTGATTTGATATGCTGTCCTGCACTGTCTTTTATTGATTATGCGAACTTGTTTTTTTTTCTTCTTTCTGGCCATAGCTTGCTTAATCTTTATTGGAAGTCTTTTCACCAAAGTTTGCTGATGGAACTAGGGAGAGGTTGCTGTAACTTTTCATTTCTTTATTCAAGTGTAGTATGTTGCAGCATCAATAGGGGTGAAATGATGCTGCAAAATTATCTCTTTCTTGTTGATAAAGCAATAGTTTCATTGATAAATTCAGAGGAAAACTTGCTATACAAGTGGTATACATTGGTGGTAGAACCTGCAAGAAACCATGGCTCCCCACAAGAGCACCCAATCATCAATACTCACAGAAATTTCATGGGTGCTCCAAAAATTGACCAAAAATAGAATATGCACAAGTGTATTTTCAACACCCTTAAGAGCTCTCCTATTTCTCTAGCTCCAAGGAACCAAAGCCCATGCCAATCTCCCAAGCCTTCTTCTCTTACTCCAATTCCTTTGTTTAATGGTGCAGCTGGCCTAGACATCTTTCACTCTCCTTGGCACTACCCATTAAATTCCAAAAAGGTTCAAAGGTGTTCACGTAAGTGGTTCACTACTTGACAATGGAGCAACACATGATTCGCGTCATCTCCACAATTTGCACATACAACACCAACTAGTATATAAAAGTTTCCTCTTCTCCAGATTATTTGCCACGAGGATAGCACTCCTAACCTATGTTAATCAGACTCTTCAAAAATGTTGTTGGGTGCGTGTCAGATCCTCCAAATTTAGTACATTTTTGGAGGATCCGACACGGGTGCGACATCACTTTTGGAGAGTCCGAGCAACATAGCTCCTAACCATGTGAAGAACCAGCCATCCTTGTTCATAGTGGTTGGGGAGTTCTCTCCAAACTACTAGGTCAAGGGTTCAAGGTTGGTAGACAATCTCAACAAACCATGTGAAGAAACACACATTCCCTGAGCTCCGGTATCCAACTTGTGATATGCAAAACCACTTCCCCTTCTCTTATGAGGAACATGCAATAAAAAGATTTCATAGAAAAGATACTCTTGTTGTTCATGTCAAGTGTCCTTTTTCGTTGGCATCATTCATTGATTATAAAGCAGCTCCAGTATTCTTCGAAAGTCATCAAACTACTCTCAATACTACAAGTATCTTTTGAAGCCCAAATCCCTAAATATTTCTCCTCGCTGCAACCTGCACATCTGTGCCATTGATGGTCTTTTGGCTCGATATGTTGTATATTGAGGGAAAAGTATTTTGCAAGTTGTTGCTCAGAACTGTCTTTGCTTCCAAAAGCGTACTCTATGTTTACCAACTCTAAATGTTATTTTCCCGCCAATATTTTCTCACCCTTTTATGATGCTCCTCCATAAACTGCATCCGTACAACGTTTACTGCTCTCATTCATGCTCCAATCTCTTCCTGTGTGTCATGCTTGTTAGCTATGACCATTCTCCACGGGGATTCTTCTTCATTTCCTAACCTCTATATCCTGGGAGTGCTTTGTCGAAAATCCCCAAGTCCCTCAGCCCAAGTCCTCCAAACTTCTTTGGGGTTGTCATTGTCTTTCAATCTTCCAAGTGGAACTTCTTCACTCCTTCTTTAGCATATAACTCAAGACTTCCTGGTGACCACAATCGGAAGTTTGGAAGACTCTTCGACATCATATAGTAAGTTTGGATGTGCAAGATATGCTCTTGGTAACCTTATAAAAAAAAAGATATGCTCTTGATTAAAACTTCATTTTCGATAAGTATCGCTTCTGCTAACCTTCTCGTTTTCTCCACTCTTTCTATCGCTGTGACTTCCTTACTTGAAGCTCATAACGACAAACCTAGGTTGAGTGCAATGAACCAATGTTGCAATTGGTGACTTGCCATTTGTGCAATGTTGTCCACCTCGTTTACTCGTATGATTTCACATTTCTTCGAAGTGATCGTCAACCTTGATATTTAAACCATATCACTACCTATCTGAGGGACTGTAGCTATGTATGATCTGCATTGCACGAAACTAGTCATCAACAAAAAATAGGTGCAAGATTGTGATTCCGTCATGTCCTCCCACATTAGCTTTAAAGCTGTTTATGTATCTCCCCATCATGGCCCGACCCATCATCTTGTCGAATGCCTCTATCACCAAGATAAAAAGCATCGAGGTAGTAGGTCTCCTTGTCTCAGGTCTGTGGTAATAGCGGAGGAACTGTTTGGAACTGACGGATAAGCAAAAGAATGTCCACTTCCTCCAATTTTCCTCGAAGCCCGTCATCATCATCATAATGGCCAAGAAGTTCCAATTGATATTGTCTAGTATTATTAAAGGCTCACTTAAGGTGCGCTTAATTCTGGAAGCTGAGTGAAGCCCAGGTTGTGCGTTTTGCCTCGCTAGTTGGCGCTTTAATGTTAGCATCAAGGTGTTAAGGCGTGTGCACCTTCACCGATGAGGTTATGTCCTTGAGAGCACAACATATGTACAGCTCAATTACAGTTTTTCCGCTTTTAGAAGGAACATGCAAGATTGGGAGATTGCGGAGCTCCAAAATTTGTTGGCACTGCTATACGGGCAAGACATGCCCCATCCATCTTGCGATTCTTGGAGATGGGGGTTGCGTGGCGATGGTTTGTTTTACCGTAAAGTCCTTTTACCAGAGTATGTTGGTGAGAGAGGAGACTACTTTTCCATACTCATCGATCTAGATTCCTAAGGCGCCCACGAAAGTGTGCTTTTTTGCATGGCTAGCAGCGAGGGGAGTGATCTTGACAACTGAAAATAGAGAAGAATTACGCTTGTTAGTTGGTGCTACATGTGTAAAAGCTCAGGGGAAGAAGTTGATCATCTTTTGCTGCATTGCCCTGTGTCCTGGGGTTTGTGGAGAGCAATCCTGAATCTTTTTGGTGTTCAATGGGTGATGTCAAACACTGTAAAGGAAATGCTATATAGCTGGGCCGGTTTCCTTAGAAGAAGCAAGCAAAAGGCGTGGAGTCTGGGGAGAGAGAAATAAGAGAGTTTTTGAGGGGATTGAGTCTCTTTTTTCACATCTTAAGAATAGTCTTTTATCACTTATCGCTTTTTGGTGCACACATATAGCCCCTACTTGTGTAGAAGATTGGGCGTCTTTTGTAGAGAATCATGTTCTGATGTAAATTCTCTACTTTTTGGTATACTTCTTGTATGCGGGAGTTTTTTCTCCCTTTTGATTAATACAATTTACCTTATCAAAAAAAATTATTGTTCTTGCATTACATTTCTATTTTTTATTTTTTCTTCGCCCATGTTTTAATTGTGCTTTCCGCTTAAAAGCTCCAACAAACTTTGGCCTTTTTTGGGGGCTTTTCGCTTTGACAACTCTGTCATAAGCTTCTCCAATTCCAAGAATCCCTTGGATGCTATCCTTTCTCTTGGAGTCCACTAGCTCGTGCCACCAAGGCTGCATGTTTCTCTTCCTTTGCACAAAAACACTTTGTGAAGTTGACAGTGTCTTCCAGTACCTTGTGCAGTCTATTTGCAAGCACCTAAGAGATTATCTTTTAGATGCTTCCTCCAGACTAACATGTCTGTCATCTTTAGTATTCTTTGTGCCCTCCTCTTTCAGAGTTTGGGCAATGAATGAGGGCGCCATTATTTCATCATATGACCTCTGTGAGTGCTTTGTATTTATTTACTAATTTACTGCCTCTCCAATTCACAAGAAAGTTGCTTCATCTATCACATTGAGCCCAGAATTATGGTTCTTGACCCGTAGTATCAGCTAAAGTTAATAAACATTGTGCTGTTCTTCTGAGTTCTTGTATTGTATGTTCTTCTGCTATATCAATAGGCTATTTGTATATAGTGCCATCATATCATGGCTTTTTCTTTAAGTGAATCTTTTAGGCTATTGGGAACTTTATGGTTTTTGGTTTGTTGTCTCAATTTGTCAGCCGAAGTTTAGAAGCGTTTCTCATGTCTAATTAAATATTAGTATATATAAAAAAAAGAGCTGTTCAGCCAGGCTTGTCTAGTTCATTTACTCCTCTTTCAATTCCTTCTCAGGCCAGAATACATAGATTTTTGGAGAAGACCAAGAAAAGCAATGCATTGAGTGGTGACTTGGAAGAAACACCTGGTGATATGATGAAAGAAAGAGAGAGGCTAAGGAAAAAAGTAAAAATTTTGATGAAGAAACAAAAGCTGCGGCAGGTTAGAAAGATAGTGAAGCAGCAGGATGATGAAAAGCCTTGGGGCCAGGATAACCTTGTCAAGGTTTGTCTTTAACAGTCTTCCCTTTATCACCTTAGTAAGATTAGTATTGAAGTTTCCTTTCTATTGGCCTGCCCTTGTGGTTGTACTTATCATAATTTATGATGCTTTTGCTGAAATAATACCTTTTTATAGGTTGGGTGCCGATTGATTCAGATATTAATGGAAACTGCGTATATACAGCCTCCAAATGATCAGTTAGATGATGGTCCACCAGATATTCGGCCAGCATTTGTGCACACCCTCAAAACTGTAGAAACAATGTGAGTACAAACTTAATACGATGAAGCCCTTCCCCTCAGTAGCCCCAATTGAGACGTAGAGGAAATGAAGAAAAGAAATCCACTCTTTTCAACAAGGGGTTTGCTGTAGATAACATCTCAGATCATTGTTGATATCTTTTTGTGGCTTCTGTGATTACAGGAAAGGTAGCAGGAGATACGGCGTGATTCAATGTGATCCACTTGTTCGTAAAGGCCTTGATAAAACTGTGAGTACAGTATTTCGTGGGTATTCATTGCCTGCTGGGTGATAATGTGATTCTCCTGGTTAATCAAATTTTCTTAGAGGAATTGTAATTACAGTAAATTTGTGCTCGTGAACAGGCTAGACACATGGTGATTCCATATATGCCGATGCTGGTTCCTCCACAGAGTTGGTTAGGGTTAGTTTGTATATCTTTTCTTATTTCCAGTCTGTATATTAGATACTTGAGTTTAGATGGTTACTCTATTCTATTTTCTCCTTTCTGCCCTAGTGAATAAAGGCTTCTGTTTTCTTTTCAAAAAAAGAATAAAGGCTTTTGTTCCCTGTTGGCTGGAATTTTAGTAACTTTGAGGTGTGTCAAGTCCATTCTCAAGATAATTTATGGAATGAGATTTCTCACTTATTCTCAATGCTAGAATTATTGATCGAAGTGCCTATGAGCCACCGTTGGTGTGTAATCTGTTATTGGTATTTGCTTCTTCCTGAAGCATATGGTTGAGCTTTAACGACTCATATGATAATTTTGCTCCAATGGTAGTTAGATGTGTGTTCAGATAAAGCTTAACTGATATGTGAATAAGGCGTATTGACTTTCTGTGGTTGGCAATATGAGCACATATGAGCATCAGTTGCCTGGTTTAGTAATATTGGGTCTCAACACCATGTATGAATTGGGTTAAAGTTTCATATTTTCTGGCAGGTATGACAAAGGTGGTTACTTATTTTTACCATCATACATTATGCGGACACATGGAGCAAAACAGCAGCGTGAAGCAGTTAAAAGAGTTCCAAAGAAGCAATTGGAACCTGTATTCCAGGTTTGTCAGGCAGATGTTCCCTTTCTGTTTTGTTTCTTCTACATAGTATTCAATAGATTTCGANTGGAGAAAAAGAATTCAGGCCTCGTTTTTCACTTCTATATTTTGGCGGTTCAGGCACTTGACACTCTTGGTAATACCAAATGGAGGGTGAATAGAAAGGTACTTGGCATAGTAGACAGAATATGGGCTAGTGGAGGCCGTCTTGCTGATTTAGTTGACAGGGAAGATGTGGGTGACGACACTACATGATGTTGAGATTATGTTTTCCCTTGCTTCTTGAGGTTTGTTTAACTACATGCATGTTTTCTTAGAGGTGAGTTGATTTCAGGTACCTTTACCAGAAGCGCCGGACACAGAAGATGAAGCAGAAATCAGGAAATGGAAGTGGAAAGTTAAAGGTGTGAAAAAAGAGAACTGCGAGAGGCATTCTCAGCGGTGTGATATAGAACTCAAACTAGCCGTAAGTTGTATCCTCATCTTAAATTCTTTTACTTTTTTTTCTTATGTTGATGAACAGAACTCCATGACCTTTTATTTTGAAGAGCAGGTTGCACGGAAAATGAAGGATGAAGATGGTTTTTATTATCCACATAATCTTGATTTTCGTGGTCGTGCATACCCTATGCACCCGTATTTGAACCATCTTGGCTCTGATTTGTGCCGTGGAATCCTCGAATTCGCGGAGGGGCGCCCACTTGGAACGTCCGGTTTACGCTGGCTGAAGATACATCTAGCGAATGTATACGGTGGTGGTGTTGATAAGTTATCATATGAAGGTCGTGTAGCATTCAGTGAAAACCATCTGGAGGATATTTTTGACTCTGCAGAAAGGCCACTGGAAGGAAAGCGGTGGTGGTTGGGGGCGGAAGATCCTTTTCAATGCTTAGCAACATGTATTAATATAGCTGAAGCATTGAGAAGCCCGTCTCCAGAGACCGCTATATCTTATATGCCCATTCACCAGGTAATAGATAATGTGAGAATGTTTGTGGTATATAATGTATGTTCACTTAGTTTGAACTTATTGAAAGCTCCTTAGATGAAAAGGACTGCAAGAAAGAAAAGCTAACTCTTTGGTGTTGCGTGATTTTTCTAGATTTACTAATTCTAGATGATGCGCACAACTAGTGTAGATGGTCATGCAGGGTGTATAGCTTGTGACTGTATGGTATATTGCTGTGAAGTCATTCTCATGGTTTTAGGGCTTCCTCAATCACTTTGAGAGGTTGATCAAAATTGCTTAGCCTTTTGTGGGGGTGGGGGAGTGCCTCTACGAGTGGGATTGATTGACTTCGGTTTGTGTGACTGCCCTCAAATTAATGGTGCCATTTAGATAGTTGAGGTCTCACTGTCATGAGATCTAATAGTCCATTAGTTTATTTTTTTTTAAAACAAGGTAGCAGGAATAGTCCATTAGTTCTTTTGTGCCAAATAACTACTGTGCCCTTTAATGTTATAAAAAACAAATAAAACAACAACAACAACATACCTCGTACATTCCCATATGTGGGGTTTGGAGAGGGTAGTGTGTACGCAAACCTTACCCCTACCTAGTGAAGGTAGAGAGACTGTTTCCAATAGACCCTCGGCTCAGAAAAGTAGGGTGGAGAAGAAGCAGAAAACGAGAAGGGAGAAAAAAAAANCATGATGTAATACAAATCGGAGAGATAAGAAAGAACATGCGTGCTACTAGTACTACTGGTAAGGAAGGGGAAAACTCTCAACTGCCTGCTAACCTTCTACCCTAATCCTCGACCTCCACACCCTCCTATCAAGGGTCATGTCCTCAGTGATCTGAAGCCGCGGCATGTCCTGCCTAATCATCTCTCCCCAGCATTTCTTAGGTCTGCCTCGACCTCATCTCGAACCCGCCATGGTCAACCTCTCACACCTCCTAACAAGAGCATAAACGCTTCTCCTCTTAACATGCCCGAACCATCTCGGCCCCGACTCCCGCATCTTATCTTCCACGGAGGCCACTCCCACTTTGTCCCGAATAGCTTCATTCCTAATCTTATCCATCGTGGTACACCCACACATCCATCTCAAAACAAATAAAATGCTGAAATCTGTTGGGGCTTTAAGAGGAACATGCTAATAAAGTACGGGTTTTAATGAATAAAGGCGCCACTGGAAAAAAGAAGAAATATATGTGTTGCAAGAAAGATAACTCTGACCCAAACCACAATTATGCAGTCGAAAGAATTGAAAACCATAGAATTAAGTGAAATGTTTTTATTTAATGTCGCTCTCTTCAAGGCAGAGGTCAAGGGCAATGGGGTGCATGCCTTAATGCCTGCATTTATTTGGTCAAGCACCTTAGTGCCTGCATTCAAGTGCTGCTTAAACAAGGAGTAGCTCAAAACCCAATTTGCACCTGGCTTTAGGGCTTAAGCGCACCCCTCAAGAGAGCCTTTGACAACACTGGTACCATAGCCATGTGGCATTCTGCTACAATCTGATTGTTTAGAGTACATTTCACTTGCTTTGGCCTGAAAACTATGACTGGAATCTGTTTTAGAGAGTTCCAAAAGGCACGACGCCGTTCTATCAATAAGATTATTTATACAGCTTTCACAAGTTTTGGTAATTCAAATTTTAACCAAATTACTTACAAAAAACCCATCAACCAAATTTAACCTTTGGTGTGATCTTTGTTTGATAATTAACTTTTGAATTATAGTTTCCTTGTACATAAATCAAACTGATATCTTAAATTGCATGGCATTCATATGCTATCACATAAAATGGGAGTTAATGTGCCCGTTAGGCAAACATATTAAACGTGGGCTAAGATTTTGCAAAATACTCTTTAATTACATGCAACAAGTTCCAACTTGTGACTTGTAGAAATTTTGTGCTGGTTCTAATTTTCTGAATGAAAGCTTCTGAAGCTGAATTATGCACATTGAGTTTCACAGTGAAAACTGGTTAAATTCCCTTGAAACACTGAGGTGATATGGTTTTCTTATTTATTCAGGTCAGATAGTGCTTTTGCTCGATGACAATTTTATTTTAGTTCTGTATTATTGGAGTTACTGACACCTACATATGTTGGCTCTTCTTTTGCATTTTCGGCATGTTTACATAAGCAGTAAGACATTTGAGTAAAGTGATTCTTGCTGTAGAACTGCCAACATACTGCTGTGTGATTTTTTTTTTGGTAACTAATTTTTTATTAATCACCGTTTGTAAACTTTACAAAGCCATAGCTCGACAGTGTGATATTTGTTTTAGCTTACTGTCGATGGTTGTATGATATAGGCTGTAAACTCTCCTTTCGTTTTGTTGTTCTGGGTTATCCCTTTATTTTTTCATTAATTTAGTGAAATAGAAATCTCACCTAAGAGGTGAGATTTCTAAGTGGTTTTGTTGAAAAGGAGAACCTTAGAAAAAAACCGTGCTATTTTATTTGATTTTAGTGTCCGTGCTTTATGAATAATACATTTAGTTAATCGTTTTTAGTTAGTAAAAAAATACATGATAACTAATATTTCTCGTGAAATCTATAGAAAAATTAAACTCGTGAATAAATAAATCCCCATCTGTTAAGATTAACAATTGTTGAAGAGCCAACGGTTAATCACAAGGATGAGGCTGAACTATACATTTTAATCTGTGGTAGCCTTACCTAAATGTTTTTTATGTTGAGCCTTACCTAAATGTTGAGTTGCATGCATATGACATGTTTTGAAGTTTTACCTAAAATTTGAATCTGATTGTCTGCTTATAACTTTTTAATGAAGGATGGTTCGTGCAATGGGCTACAACATTATGCTGCCCTTGGTAGGGATAAGGTAAAGCATGTCTTTTTTAGTTGTCTTCTTTGAGACTTTGTGAGATTGACTCACTGAACAAGCTGTCTCTGTTTGATGCGAAGTATGCCTGCTCTGGGCTTGAGTTGGCATAGTTTTGACTCAGTCTGGATTACTTTACAGTTAGGAGCAGCTGCAGTCAATCTTGTTGCTGGAGACAAGCCTGCTGATGTTTACTCTGGAATTGCTGCTCGGTGAGTTACTATTTGACCACTAAACCCGTAAACCGTACTTTCCGTCCTTTCTTTTCTTCCTTTCTTTTGCATTCACTCCTTCACAACAAGTATGCCTCAGTCCCAAACAAGTTGTGGTCGGTAATATGAATCTTAGAATCTTCAACGTGGCTCTCAGTTCTAGGAGATTCCAATCTGAGACGAGCTGTAGAAAACGCTGAAGTATGTTTGTTAAAATTCACTGTGTCTCGTCTTTGACGTAAGAAGATTATTGATTGATATCATTCTACAAAGGCTAACTAGTGATAGCTAAATACTTAGATGTAAGCTGTTGTAATTGTGATTCATGGGCTCAGGATTAGATGTAAATTGCATATATAGAGAGGATCTTTTTGTGTAGTAATGGTAACAGTATTGTATTACTAGTACTGCATGAAAATGATTCTCCTTTCCTATTTCAGTAACCTATGTAAAAGCTTCTGGATTTAGTTGCCAAAACAGCTTGGTTGGAACAACAATCACCCTGTCCTTGGTTGGCGGTTGATAGGAATGCCTTTGTGATTAATCTTAGTTCTGAGTCAACCTTTGACAGGACACTATGCTTTTCTGTATCATGATTGTAAGTTCCTTTCTTTAACCAGAGTTCTTGATATTATGAAGAGAGATGCAGCTAAAGATCCAGCAAATGATCCAAATGTGATGCGTGCCAGGCTGTTAATTAACCAGGTTTGCCTCTGACGTGTCTAAATTCTTCTGGTTTATATACTGTCCATGATGGAAAATTGTAACTTTTTGGAATGTCATGGAGTAATACACAATGAGCCTACTTCGATAATTGGTTTCTATATTCTAATAATTGCTCATAGATGCTGAATTATATTTCTTCTGTATTGTATTGCTTTTGATGTGCTAACTCAGGTGGACAGGAAGTTGGTCAAGCAAACAGTTATGACATCAGTGTACGGTGTCACATATATTGGTGCTCGCGACCAAATCAAGAAAAGATTGAAGGAGCGTGGTGTTATTGAAGATGACAATGAGTTGTTTGCAGCTGCCTGCTATGCAGCAAAAGTATGAACTTATATTATTTTAATCTGCTTGGGCCTTTCTATATGCATATAGTGGATTTATGGTAAATGTTGTGCATGGCGTAGTAAATAATGCTCTATATATCTCAAAAGGATAATCCTTTCCTTGTGGTTAGTCCTGAAAGTGTGCCTACATTCTTTGGAAGGAAAAAATATTATGCTTTTAATATTATCTACTAGTAATATGGGGTCATCTTTTCATGATTCTCGATGCAATTTTTCTTCTATTCTATCCCGACTAAACACAAAGTCAATGTAGGGGTCCAACATATTCTCCTAGTTAATGTTAACGCCTTATAGGAAGTCATATCCTATAAGGCTTGCATCCATTCTCCAACAGTCAAATTTAACTTTGGTTAAAACGCATTTCAGATAAATTTATGCTGTCTTACAAAATTTTAAATCTTCTACATAATAGTACTTCTTCCTAATTTATCATTTTTCCATTCGGAGAAACATTTTTTGACATTAAGTCTTGAATTTGGCTTTGGCCGGCACCAACCTTGATCTTTGGTGTCAAATTGGGAAATGTTTTGGGATGGAGTGAGTAGTTTGCAAAATGTGTAATTACATTTAGAGGTCCATGCAATTGCTGTTGAATTTCGTGTCTATACTTTCTGATGTCTATTTAGCATCAATGTTTCTGCAGTATGACCTTCCAATGCTGTTCTGTATCTGCTTTTGTACTTGTTCTAATTATCTTTTGTCACATGGTCAGACCACCTTGACTGCCTTAGGAGAGATGTTTGAAGCTGCTAGAAGTATCATGAGTTGGCTTGGAGATTGTGCAAAGGTTTGCTTTTATCCAGTTGTCACATTGAGTAGTTAGTACATTGATTATATTTTGAGTTAAACTAAAGTTGGCGTAGTTAACCCGTTGTTCAGAATTTTAAGTTTGATGTATGATACATAATTTGTGTCAGTGGTTTGTTTGTTTATTGGCTCTGTAGCCTATCCGCTGATCCTAGTTCAGTGACTTCCTTCTTGTGATATTAGTACATAAACTGGTCTTTAGGAATAAATAAAAGGGAATTAAAAAATTATCTGATGCTTCTGCTAGTTCTCTTCTCTACTGGATGTGAAAAGCAGTAGCATAGGCTAAAATTGTATATAACAAAAAAGGCTAAAATTGTATATGACAAAAAAAATAAATTGTATTGCGTTACCCTCACTCAATGTGGTGTTAGTCTATGTTGCTCGGACTTTCCGAAAATCTCGCCGGCAGGGGCGGATTTATAGGCAAGTAAATGGGGCACGTGAACCCATGGTCTTTTCCCCAAACTAAGTATTTTTATGTACATATTTTTTAGAATTGGTCTAATATTATCTGCTGTCACCCGTTCTCCAAAGAGACTAAATGGTGCACTTAGTTGAATGGTGAGTTATTTAGCTAGAGTAGGGATCAAATCCCACTTATTACATTTTTTTCTCCTTTCTTTAGTGGTGCACCCATGTTATAAAAATCCTAGATCCGCCTCTGCTCGCCAGGTGTGTGTCAGATCCTCCAATAGTGCATTTTTGGAGGATACGACACGGGTGCGGCAACATTTTCGAGAGCCCGCGCAACATAGGTGTTAGTCAATGAATTTGAAAGTACTTTGTTGTTCCTGTTTTAAGTTTTAACTTTAGGGAGAAAAACCCTCTTCAGATGGGGAAGATTTTGAAGGTAAAAGAATGAAAAGAAATGTCAGGCTAGTACAAACATTTTTAAAAGCTGCATCATGAGTTCAGTTAAATCCCCTTTCTTCAGTAGAATTCAGTTAACTTCGACTTGCTCTGATAACATATCTGTTTTACTCTGACATCAGTATCACCTGAATATGTTGCTACTGCTTTTTTCCTTTAGGATGGATTTGAAGTTTTTATGTTGGATAATTTGCTTTTTTACTAATGGTTAAAACTTCATTCTCCAGATTATAGCCATGGAAAACCATCCTGTACGATGGACTACTCCACTTGGACTTCCTGTTGTGCAACCTTACCGCAAATTAGGAAGGCATCTTGTAATGTCCTGATATATTCAACCTTAAATTGCATGAAATTTCAGAACAGTCTAGTCTCTAACAAAAATTTCATATTTAAATGTCACTAACTATTTGTCAATGAACTCTCTGCAGATTAAAACTTCCCTTCAGATTTTGACATTACAGCGTGAAACAGATAAGGTTGCCTCTGCATCCATTAAAACATGTCTTTTCCCTTTTTGCTTTTTCTTCATTGATGATACTTTTCCGGATGCAATAATTTGGATTCTAGTGAAGCTATTCTTGGTTCATAGCACATTGATTATCTTTCTATGTAACTTTCTCCTTGTACTATCCCTTGGAGAAGGTGAAAGTTTAAAGACGTATACAATTAAAAGATGGACAGAGTCAACATACAATACCACTGTTCGAAAGTGTGAAACTAATTGGAGATGTTGGATCATTGTACTATGAATTGCATATCTTGGACTTTAAGTTGTATGTTTCAAGTGGTGCTATCAGTTATTCATGCTCTTTATCATAAATTACAGGTAATGGTTAAGCGACAGAGAACAGCATTCCCTCCAAATTTCGTTCACTCTCTCGATGGCTCCCACATGATGATGACTGCCATTGCCTGCAAAGAATCTGGCTTAAGTTTTGCAGGTTTGTAGTGCTGCCTATTTTCGTTCCAGTCGCATGAAATGTCAAGCGTCCGTGTGAATAAGCATCTGACTAGACTTGCTAATGCTTTTTACCCGATATTGGTGGCAGGGGTGCATGATTCATACTGGACACATGCCTGTGATGTTGATCAAATGAACAAAATCTTGAGAGAGAAATTTGTTGAACTCTACGACGCACCCATATTGGAAAATGTAAGTTTTATGGGGAAAAAGATAATCATTTACTGCTGCTTTTGCAGAAGTTTCCCTTGAAGACATTCATGATTCTCAAAATAAAGGAACTTTAACGTATATATCCTGCTTGTAGCTTCTCTTATCCTCGTCAAATTTGCATTGGATTTTGGTCATGTTTTTTTTCAAGTCAAGGCTGCTAAAGTTTATTGTGTTACAAATTATTAACGCCACTGCTGATTGTTAACAGTTACTGGAGAGTTTTCAGCAGTCATTCCCTGACTTGCAATTTCCTCCCTTACCGGAGCGGGGTGATTTCGATTTAAGAGAAGTTTTGGAATCTCCCTACTTTTTCAACTAGTCGTGCAGTCTTATATTTTGATTTTGTGTGGTCGAGTATTTGCTTTGTCCCTTATAATGACGAAACTCATGGGAACTTCAAACGCTTGGATCCATTGCGCTGCAAGTGAGGGAACACGAGCCTGTACTGACACATTGGCTGCTCAGCCTAGATGACCATGCCATATGCTAGTGTAGAAGGCGGTATTGACCATTCATGTTAGACAAGGAAGGATTTCTGGGTATGAGTTGGGCTGCTATGCCTATATGCTATTGGGAAATATAAGCTGCTCTACAAAAAGTTGCACCGGGTGAAAGCAGTCGGCAACTGGTTTCGATGAAATATTATTTGTGTACAAGCATCTAGAGGTGTAAGCTAAAGCGAAAAAGCCTCCGGCATGTGTACATAGAGCAAGGAACCGGCATGATTGTGATGGAATGCATCAACTTCCTTCAATAATACTGGAAAAACAAACTAATGAAGACTGACCTAGATGGCTCTACAGAGTGCTGAGTAGAACAGTAAGATAGTTTCTTCCCTTTTTCCTCAATAAAAATTGATTATTACTTGCTTTTGTACCATTTACATAGTAGGTTGTATATATGTTTTGTGGTGGAATGTCACCTCATTTTTTTATACCTCTGAGCTTTGTCCTGAGCTTTGTCCTGAGCTTTATTGTAATAAGAACACAGTTCTCATGTTTTAATAGAAAGGAGATATGTTCTTGTTCACTTTTCATACAATTACATTTTATGCCAAGCAAAGATCTACTCTTTTCTTTCCCCTCTCCCTCAATTCAGTGATAGTCCATATTCTACTAAATAAGAAAAAAGAACAAGACGAAAACACTAGTAGTTCACACCAGAGGAGCCTTGTAACATCTCTGTCCACTAGTGATATTGTCCGCTTTGGGCTATTTCTCGATTTGTGCGTGTCTTCCTTGCGTAGGGGCTATGCTAATCTTCTCTGTATCGTTCCAAGTGACGCATTTTAAAGCCGTGAGGGCCTTGGGCCAAAGCGGACAATATGACTAGTGGACAGAGATCTTACAAGCCTCAAGCTTGTAAGGTATATGCAGTTTTACCTAAAAGATTTAACTATCAAACCAAGTGCAAGCCTCAAGCTTGTAAGGTATATGCAGTTTTACCTAAAAGATTTAACTATCAAACCAAGTGCAAGCCTCAAGCTTGTAAGGTATATGCAGTTTTACCTAAAAGATTTAACTATCAAACCAAGTGATTCTTAGCCAAGATAGTTGCAGACCATTTACAGAGAAAAGTGAAGAAAGATCAAATCCGCGGATACATGTTTCTTATGACCAAAGTAGATACATCACAATAAATGGCTACCAAAATTGCAAACACAGCCAAACCAACCACTTAGACAAGATTTGTAGCTATGCCATGACAACATGAAACGACGATTATTTGAAAGTAGAGGCCCTGCAGATGGAAAGAGGAGGCCATCGAAGTTGAGACGAAGAGGGTAAAAACTGGTATTAGGCCTATCACAGAAATTTAACAGTCGTTTCGTATAAACTGAATAGCAAATCATTGAAATTTTAGTTTGTAAATCCAACTGAATAGCAAATTGAAATGCTAGTTTGTAACACTACGGTTCAAGTTGTGATGGTCAAGGACATGCCAACTATCCTTTGATTAATGAAAGATGAGCTCAGAATTTGTTATATGTGATAGGCTTATGCTCTTATATGTGAAAACAGATAATATAGTTGTTTTCCAACCAAAAAAAAAAGGACTCATTAACTGTAGCAATTACCTGGATTTTGCATTTTGGCCACCTTTTTGTTAAAAAAAAGAAATTTATTTTCATACACGAATCATGATAATTTTCATATGAACCACAAAATAGTAATGATTAAATGAGGCAAGTCATTGACCTAGTACTATTTACTGACGAGATTAACTTTTGTGCACTGATAATGCATAGTTTTTTATATATCATTGGGTGCAAATAAGTGGTAGAGCCAGAATTTTCATCAAGGGGTGTCAAAAGATAAATAATTAGATATATCGAAAAATTAAGGGGAGTCAATGTATAATAAATATACATAAAATAAAAAAATTATCTAGCAATATAGTGTAATTTTACGGCGAAGGGGTATCGCTGGACACCCCTTGGTTCAATGTGGCTCCGCCACCGGTGCAAATGACCTACAACCGTAGGTAATTGTCTACCATGATTATAATTTGGTAACGTCCGAAAATGCAATAAACAACATGCTATAACCAATAAAAACATGATAACGTAAAACTTTTTTACATTGTTAGCGTATATAAGTTAAGCCGTTTACCGATTTAGGTTAGTAGAAGTAACTAGAGTTAGAATGAGCAACTTTCACAAACTTCTAGATCAACTGTAACTTGAAATTTAATATCCCCCCTTCTAGACATAAAGTCAGTGAGGATAATTAAAAAGAAAAGAAATTGATGATATTAAGATATAAAATTTCATTCTCAACAATTATTTAAGCTACTAAATAAAAGTGGCAGCCATTATAAGATAATAAAACACGCCAACAGGCAGGAGATTGATAACACATCAATCATATCTTATGAGTTGAATTGATCAAAGTTGATGCAACTCTCTACCCACTCAATATCTACATGATAACTCCATAGAAAATGAAGTCCAATTAATAATTTCTTCTTCTCTTTTCTTGTTTTCCCCTTTTTTTGGGGCAACTATCATGACCCAAGTCCATGAAACGTATTGTCCGCTTTGGGCTTAAGCCCGCACGGATTTATCTTCAGGGCTGCGCCACATCGAGCCCCAAAAGCACACGTACCTTGTGAAATTCTTTTATGCCTTATAAAACTCTTCACTTTACTCTCCCATTTCAATGTGGGATTCGCCTGAGGTGATATGTGCACCCCTTCTTGCCAGCCTAGAAGTCTGTCAATCATGCTTACCCGCCCTCGTCAGCCTTGGAATCACATTCACCCCCTCCTCGTCCCCCGGGACTCGGCGTCCTCGCTGAGGTTTGCCCACCATCTTACTGAGGGAGATTCGGCTCTAATACCATATTTGTCATGACCCAAGCACATGTCACACATTCTCCGCTTTGGGCCTAGGCCCGCACGGATTTGTCTTTCGGACTACACCATATCGAGCCCCAAAAACGTGCGTACCATGTGAACTTGTGTCATGCCTTATAAAGCTCTTCACTTTCCTCTCCCATGTGCGATTCTCCTACGGTGACATGTGTACTTTTTTCATAAGCTTGCCAACCTAGAATCCTGTCAGTCCTGCTTGACCCGCCCTCCGTCGTGGGCATCACAGCTACAAATTGTTAATATTAAGGTGCTGAGATCAAGTTGATGATCCTACTTGCTCAAATACTAAAGTCAAATATATCAAAATAAAATAAACTAAAACCAATGGAAAAGTTAATAATATCTTGTCTTAGCACAGCTGACTAAGTCCAAGTCTTTGACTATTGATTGCTTCATCAGACTAACTACATAAGCGAAGAAACCTCGAATTGACATCAGAAGATTTTAGTATACAGTAATTGTCCACAGGAAAGACAAATTTACACTCAGTGAAATGAATAAATGTACCAAGGAGATTTAGAAGTGACTGATTCAAAGTCATCCCTTAAAATGTCTTCTTCTTGATTTGGAGAAGTACCATATTAATATAGTTATAGAACTTGCAACACACTGAATTCACTGAGGAGATGGCAATTTCTGGCAGTACAGACTCTGATTTCATTCAGGTAAGTTCTCTTTTCTTTCCTGCAAATTTTCCACATTCAAACAAGATGCTTTTAATTGTTCTCGCTCATGTTTGATTGATTACATAGTAGTAAGAGATTCTAAATAAGTATATGATAATAGTGAAGTCCATTACACTGATAACCAATTGTTTAGTTCTCATCCAACTTTTATCAAGCTTAGAAGTATTCTTGTGAGAATTTTTTTTCCAATGACTCCAAGAAAATCTTTCAAAAAAAAGGGCAGCCAGGTGCACTCTCGCTATGCGCGGGGTCCGGGAAGGGCCGGACCACAAGGGTCTATTGTACGCACCCTTACCCTCCATTTCTACAGGAGGATGTTTTCGCGGATTGTGACTTCCTGGTCACATGGCAACAACTTTACTGGTTACGCCAAGGCTCCCTTCCAATAAATTCTTTAGTTATAACTTATAAAAAGGGTGTGGTTAAATTCTCTAAGCTCGGATTTTAGCTGAAACAATGTCACATTTTCTTCTTCAGATCAATGGAGAAAGGGACAGAGTTGGCCTACTTGCTGAATCTTTATTGGTAAATATTTCAGAGTTTACAAAATCAGTGGTTTCAATAGATATAGAAAAAGAGAATTTCATTGAGATAGGAAGCTACTTATACCGCGCTTCTGCAGTCATAATGGAGTTGCAAATAGGAGCAAATGCAACATCAAATGTGATAGACAAATTACAGTCTATGTTAGAAAGTGTGCATTTAGCTAATCAGCTTATAAAAAAATGCCAAAACTATAGGCAGAAGAATCAGTTAATTGAACCAACTTTTGTCATAGAACAACTTCAAGTTGTGAACAGACATATCGCGGAAGGATTAAGTCTCATACCATCCTCTATTTATGGAGAACAAGAATGTGCAGAAATCGCAGCTAAGTCTCTCTCGAAAGATATGAATGGTGCAGCATTTGTAGCCAGAAAAATTCTGGTTTCAGACCAAAACGAGCTTGAAGTTCACATGTTAACTTCAAGGGAATTTTTGACAAATGAAACAGCAGAAACAGATCTTTACTCAATCGATATTGAAGTTTCCATGGAAAACATTCGGTTAGCTGATTCAACCAATATTTATATAAGTGACAATTCCAGAAGCAGTATCAGCAGAAGCTTAAATCTTCAGAATCATGGAAACTGGAGCGCTCGTTCTGAATCTGAGTACGTGGAACCTCTATATGAAACATTCTTTTGTCCGTTGACAAAGAAGATTATGGAGGATCCTGTCACAATAGAAAGTGGAGTAACATATGAGAGGGAAGCCATTTCAGAATGGATCAACAAGTTTGATAACCGCGAAGAAATATCCTGTCCAAAGTCAGGCCAGAAGCTAAAGAGTACAAATCTGAGCACTAATGTGGCGTTGAAAGCAACGATAGACGAATGGAAAGAAAGAAATGAAGCAGCAAGAATCAAGGCTGCAAGAGCAGCTTTGTCTTCAGCCAGTAGCACACAGGATATAATACTCAAAGCAATCGAAAATTTGCAAATCATCTGCCTCAGAAAGCCATACAATAAGGTACAAGTTCGTAGCATTGGTATAATACCACTGCTTGGAAATTTACTGGACAACAGAAGCAGAAGCATAAGATGTGCAACACTGGAATTGTTGCGACATTTGGCTGAAGATGATGATGAGGTATAGGCCTTTTTTTTCTATCCTTGAAAAGTTTTAAGTTTTAGTAGGCACACAACTACTACTAACATTTCACATTTTATTTGTTTACTCAACATTTGCTTTTAACACTACTTTTCATGTATATATACAACAAGAATTACAGAATTAGAGTATCCTGTAGACATGTACTGAGTTGAGATACTTCACAAATGCAGGAATTAATTGCCCAAATTATCGATATTTCTACAGTCACAAGGATGCTGACGAGTAATCACAGACCTATTAGGCATGCATCACTACGCCTTTTGCTTGAGGTTTCGAAATCCCAGTTTCTGTGTGATAATATTGGGAAAGTTCCTGGAGCCATCCTCATGCTGATAACAGCCAAATATAGGCATTCCGGTGATGCATTTGTCGCAGATAAAGCTGACGAAGTCTTGAAAAGCTTGGAGAAATATCCGTGCAACATCAAACACATGGCTGAAAATGGATATCTAGAGCCACTTTTAAATCATCTTCTTGAAGGTAACCACATATTCTTTTCTTTTAAGGGTCAATCACTAAGTATACTAGAATAGAGACGACATGAACTAAAGACAGGTATCAAAAAGTAGAGACCAAATTGAGTTTTTTGGTGTCAATTCTGAATTCAAGGAACTGACTGTTACTTCTACTACCAAAAACTTGATATAGGCAGTGAAGAGATGAAAATGGAGATGGCACGATACCTCGGGGAAATAGTGCTTGGACTTGACAGCATAACCTACGTTGCTGAGAAAGCTTCTCCCTCTTTGATCAAAATGGTAGAGAGTGGAAATTCCTTGAGAAGGAATGCAGCATTTAGAGCTCTACAACAAATCTCCTCTCACCATTCAAATGCTAACACACTTGTGGAAGCTGGCCTTGTCCAAATCATGGTTGAAGAGATTTTCACTCAAGCAATTCACGATGAGCAAATCAACTCGAAGAAAGAAGCAGCTGGTATACTTGCAAATGTGCTCGAGTCTGGATTAGAGCTAGAGAACCTTCAAGTTAATGGGCGTGGCCACACATTGGCTTCGGACTACATGATATTCAACTTCATTCAGAGGATCAAAAACTCGACTCCTGAAGAAATGAATTTCCACCTTGTCAGAATCCTAATATGCTTGATGAAGTATCCCAAAGCATCATCTACCATTATTTCTGTGATCAAAGAGACAGATGCGAGCTACAATCTAATCGAGCTCATAAATAATCCCAATGAAGAACTTAGCATTGTAGCGCTGAAGCTTCTTATCGCTCTCTCTCCTTTCATGGGGCATACAATTTCAGACAGATTATGCAAAACCAAAGGACAACCCGAGAGCCTAATTCATGCTCCAGTTGAAAATCCTCGAATCACAGAAAAACAAGCAGTCTCTGCCACTCTTTTAGCAAAGCTTCCCCACCAAAACATGACACTCAACCTAGCATTGGTCAATAAAAACACAATTCCTACAATCATAGAACAAATCAACAAAATCCATGTAAGCGGGACAAAAACAAGCAGGTACACAAGTGCATATTTTGATGGTCTTCTAGGAATTCTCGTCAGATTCACAACAACGCTGTACGATCATCAAATTTTGCACATAGTAAGAACGTTCAACTTCACGTACATATTCACAGAGTTACTCGTGAAAACATCAAGCGATGAGGTCCAGAAGTTATCCGCGATTGGGCTAGGGAACTTATCAAAGCAATCAGTCAATTTATCAAAACCACCACCAATCAAGAACAACAAGTCCATTAAATCTTTTCTGCTAAGAAGATGTATGTCTCTTCATTCTAAGTCTGAGAAAGTACCTTTATGCTCAGTTCACCGCGGCGTTTGTTCTGCTGAAGACAGTTTCTGTTTAATTGATGCTAAGGCAATTGAAAGGCTACTATCTTGCTTGCATCATGAGAATGTTGAAGTAGTTGAAGCAGCATTATCAGCTATATCGACGTTACTAGACGATAAAGTTGATATGGACAAGAGTGTTAACTTACTGATTGAGATGCAAACCGTTCAGCATGTGCTGAATGTGGTGAAGGAGCATAGAGAAGATGTTTTGTGGCACAAATCATTTTGGTTGATTGAGAAGTTTCTTTCAAAAGGTGGGGACAAATCTGCTTCAGATATATCACAGGACAGGTTGTTTCCTGCTACTGTTATCAGTGCATTTCAACATGGAGATGTTTGTACTAGACAAATGGCTGAGAAAATCTTGATGCATTTGAACAAAATGCCATATTTTGCCAATACTGCCAGTTTTACCACATAAAATCTGTAGTACCATTTTTGTAAAAAAAATGTTTCACATCACTTTTTGTTCAGAATTTGTTACTCCATTTGTCCCAATTTATTTAGCACCGTTCGATTTCGAGATTCAAACATATTAGTTTTGACCGTTTCGGACGCGAAATCTTTAAGTTTTTGAAATACAATTTAGATATTTGGATATAAGTCACAATGATTAACAATTCAGAATATTTAAAAAACATATGAAAGAATTGGTCAAAGAAAAACTGACTCTCAAAATCCGAATGTGTGCCACACAAATTGAGACTGGGGAAGTATAATTATAGAAATGGTGAACTGTTATACCATGTTTGTGTCAAGTGGTTTTCTTTATATTTCTATGTGTAGCAATTACTTAAAAATATTGCCCCATTATTAATGGTGAAAATCTTGAATCTTGATCATTATGAAAATATATAATTGGGTAACTGGTATTTACATTTCTGATTTCACAATAGTCTGTGGGTATACTCTTTTTACGTAAATAAGTTCGGTAAAAGCAGCTGTTATTTGACAAAGAACGAACTTGGTCAATATCGTATGACAATTAATGGTTCCATACTTAATGGAAAAAGAAACCAAACTTACAATGTCAACTTAAAAAACATACAATAGTTTAAATTCTATTCATGGACGGTGTAAAAAAAATATTTACACAATCATGTCAATTATTCGATAAATATCTTGATAATCATTAGTTGATAATCTGGTAAAATTTAATGAGCGTCCAATATACAAACCAAAAATTCTTACACTGTGGATATACAACAACAACAACAACCCAGTGAAATCTCACTAGTGGGGTCTGGAGAGTGTAGTGTGTACGCAGACCTTACCCCTACCCCCGAAGAGGTAGAAAGTTTGTTTCCGAAAGACCCTCGGCTCAAGAGAACAAAAAGACAAAAGGAGACAGTATCAGTATCACCACAGAAATCATAGGAAAAATAGGAACATGAAATCTAGAAGAAAGATGCAAAGCAAAAACGATAGCTAGTAAATAGGTTCGGCACTGAGACGCAAAATAGTAAAACATGTCATTGCCACTAGCTAGCTTAGACAAAACCCTACCAGGGTAGTCTTACAACGGTACGAAGTAAGGCAAGACTTAACTATCTCCTAACCTACAACCCTAATACTCGACCTCCACATCTTCCTATCAAGTGCCATGTCCTCGGAAATCTGAAGCATCGCCATGTCCTGGCTGATCACCTCTCCCCAATACTTCTTCGGCCGCCCTCTATCTCTTCTCGTGCCCTTTACAACTAGCCGCTCACACCTCCTTACCGGGGCATCTGGGCTCCTCCTCTGTACATGCCGAAACCATCGGAGCCTCGCTTCCCGCAGCTTGTCATCAATGGGAGTCACACGCACCTTCTCCCGAATATCATCATTCCTGATCTTATCCATCCTAGTGTGCCCGCACATCCACCTCAACATACTCATTTCTGCTACTTTCATCTTCTGGATATGTGAGTTCGTAACAGCCCAACACTCAACCCCGTACATCATTTCTGCTACTCAGTGGATATAAGTTTTTTTAAAAAAAACATGTCGATTTTTTTACAACGAGGTGGTTTTTTAACTTGAATTTCTTTTCGATTTTTCTTGAACACCCTAAATGATGAACAGTCGATAGTGAACTTGTCTGACCAAACAGAAAAAAATTAAAGAGCACAACTGGTTCAGCTTTGGCAAAAATGTTTGGCCGGCAGTTGTGACATAATCGCCAACAAAGATTTAATTTTTTTTATTTAAAAGCTTTAAATATTCAATTAGCCCCTCTGATTAAACTAAAGAAGATTTCAGAGCAAAGTTATCTTTTTCCATTTGTCAATATTCCCATTTTCCAGCCTTTATTTCATCCTTCTAAGGTCATGACTAAAACCCCAAATCTTAATTTTTGGAAAATATTCTACCAACAGTATACCGTATGTCAAAAAATGCTTCAGTGTTAATATATAAATGGCTATAACGTCTGCTACGAAAGTAGATATCTTTATAGAATCCTTCAACAAAAAGATAAATTTGTTTATCGTTAGCAATTGAAAGATCTTATGAGTGAAGCAGTTCATCAATCACTATAAGAATGCACAATACATTGGGACAGGAGTTAACCACAGCCATAGACATTGTCGAAGTGAATGTATTTCAAACTTGGACATATAAACTAATAAGTGTGTACATTCATTGATTGCATATATACACAGGTCTTTCTTCCAAGTCTCTCTCTGTTTCTCTGCTTCAGAAAGGAGATGGCTTCTTTCGCGATTGAGGACTTTATTGGAAATGGATCGCTGCAGGGACTTATTCCAAAGCTGTTGGAGGAAGGGTGGGATGATGTACCAACACTGAAGATTATGACTGCAGATGATATGAACGAGTTGAACATGACTCAACGGCAAAAGGTTCTCTTTACTGATAATTCACCCTTCTTGTATATACCTCAAGAAAATCATCTGGGGTTCTTCATATTCTTTTGCAAATCTTTGTAAACAACTAAGTAATTCTTGTATTTCCCTAGAACAATATAAAGTATCAGAAAAATAAAGTTCCAACAAAAGAAATAAGAGATCATTAAAACATCTTTGTGCGCAATCAAAAATCCTAAACTCCTCCATTCCATTTCTACGTTTTTACTCAAAATAAACTTTCAACAGGCACATCTGAATAAAGGTAAGAAACAAAATAAGATATTGTTCTGATTTCTATTTCTTTCTTACTCAAGGATGCGCTGGAAATAAGGTCATACCTGCATGATCATGCACTGATGCAATATGCAGATAAGCTTGAGGAGTCTGGGAATTCCCTTTCTGAGCTTCTTAACTTGAGTGCAGTAGATCTTACTGCAAAGTATGGAATGAAAAGGGGCCATGTTGCCCGTTTTACAGACAGAACTGCAGCTTGCGGGGGAGATTCTTTGCCAGAAGCCAACGATCTCCAAGTGAGGAGAAGAAGTGCCTCGAGGAATGAGAGTCTTTACAGGAGAGAGATTTCTGCTGTCAACTCCAGGAAGCAGAGTATGACGAGATCCCTTAGGAGAACCAATACAGCTAATGATGTATCCCTTGAACAATCATTGGCTGATTTCAAAATTAAAGATGGACATGTTTTTAAGGGAACAGTAGCTTCAATGCCAGATGAGCCTAGAGCATGCGGCTGTGTGCAGGCCACCCCAGTAGTTGAGAATGTTGCTCCTTATTCTACCATTGAGAATATCTCAGTTCAGAAACTAACGCCAGAGTACAAGATTGGAATGGAGCGTTTGGTGAAAACAAAGACTCCGCCACTGAAGGCTTCAGAGCTCTGGCGTGATAAACCAGCAGTGATTATATGCATTCGTCGCCCTGGGTAAAGCATCAAATCATTTCTGCAATTAACACCTATAATTTGTTAATTGTAGTTCAATGGATATGCTATGTCTCAGACACAGTATATGCAATGTCTCGGACGCTGCCTCTTATAGGATATAACAGATACTAGGTTAAACAGAAATAAAGAAACCTCTTGCAAGAATTTCACAGGGAAACTCAAGTCAATACCTGCATAAAACTTCAATCACAATAGAAGATCCAACAATGCATGTGATCCCACTAGACTCTGGATACATTGATGAAGGATATAACCTAGGAATGTTTTTCCCCTTTAAAGAACAAATGGTATTTATATTTTTATAAGAAGATGAAATTAAATCTTTTTCTATGAGCATGAATTACTGAATCTAATCCCAAAAAGATGATGGAAACAGGTGCATTATGTGCAGAGCTGAAGCCCACCAACTTTATGCAAAGAAACCAATATTTGACGCATTGGGGTTTCAATTATTTGCTGTTCTTCATGAGCAAATAGAATCAGAGGTAACTTTTTACTACTTTTTTGCTGACATTTCTTTGGAAGGACCTGGTTCATTATGCTGGGTTTTGTAATCCAGTTAAAGGATTTCTGGCCACGATACTGGGGTGGCGTAGTCCTCTTTGACAAAAGCATGGCATTTTATAAAGCTCTGGGAGGAGGAAATCTGCTAAAAGACAGGTTCATATCAGGCTTTCTATTTAATCCTCGAGCTATTGCAAATTATAAGAGAGCGAAAGCCATGGGGGTGGAGCAGAACTTCAGGGGTGAAGGTGAGATAAAAGGAGGACTTTTCATTGTCGGCAAAGGAAAAAGTGGAGTTGCTTATCAATTTATTGAAAGGAATTTTGGAGACTGGGCACCCCTTGCTGAAGTTTTTGAGATTTGTCACCGCTTGCAGGTAAAGTTTTCTAGCTTCTCTAATAATCTCATTATCGCATACCCCTAAATTTTAGTCTAATGAGATTTTTCTTCAAATATTCTAGAATCCGCCGGAAAGTCAGTCAGAGTTGTTCCCATCATTACTACAACGGGATTAGATATGGTTATTGCTTCTATGGAATAAGCCCTTGTTTGAATCTCAAGCTGAAAGAAGCTATATCTCTTTCAAACTTAAAATTTTATGTTTCATTATCACAGCTTTTTTGTTGTATGTATAACTACCCACAGTAAATTCCTTGATGATACTGGAATTGTATTGGTGTTAGAATCTAGTCAGACTGGCAATATATCTATTTCTTTTGAATCACATAAGGCAGAAGTGCCGATATGTAGATTGTACTCAACTAGTACATCAGGTATGCATTGGTAACTTATAAACACTTAGGACAAAGATTGTAAATCATCTCATATAACAATATAAAAGGCAAATAAAGAAAATTCCCAAAAATCAGTAGCTTTTCATCCGAAGAGCAGAAGACTGACTCCCTTTTACAAGATAAATAAAAATCATCTGCTTCTCCTATCCAAAAGCCAATAGCTGCAAGTTAAAGCTTTCTCATATTGATGTGTTTATGAATCAAAAGTTACCAACAGAACTATATTTTCTCCCAAAACTAACAGAATTAGATAACAACGTCAATGTCTAAAGGGCTGTAATTTGTCAACATAATCAGCTATGTTATGGTTAACTTACGTTGTCAAGAGGATTGGTAGCCTCATAAATCAGATACTCCATGTTTCACGCTTGCATGCTACTCAATATGGAAATTGATGAGCTCTGAGTCGTGGTGCTTCTGAGAATGGCTCCGCAGTCTTCTGTAATTTGAGCTAATATATAGCAGACATAGCCAAGTCCTCTCATGGGAAGCAAATGTATACTTTTAAAAGAATCAGTGAGATTATTCGTCTCTCATATAACGTGCAAACACAGGAACCAGCATGATGCATGTAACAGTTCCCTTTGATCAAATGGAAGGATGGATTCCTGCCTTTAGCGACTTCATTCTATCACTCCTTTACTTGTTCGCTATGGCTTGAAAATTAATCGCATGAGAGAGTAAGAGATTGAAAAGAGGATAAGTGGACCTCGTTACTGATCTGAAATTATGGGCAAATTATCACCAGAAATCTCCACAAGAACATTTTCCATCCTTAAATAAATGAAATCTAACTGCATCTCTTACAAGAATTTCTCTTTGGGTGATCTTAGAAATGATTTTAGTTGCACTATGGCAATCACCACATACCCTTAGGTTTTTAACCACTCTTATTGGGAGCCCAGGGGGGATAAAGATCAAACCAAAGGCAATAGCAAGCCTCTCGCTGTGGTGGTTAAGCAATTTAATTTTATCGGACACTTCAACGTTATGCATGACATGAGTTACATCCGGTACATAACCCTCGTCTATCATTTTAGCGTTCAATTTCTCCAGTTCTGCATATATTTGATTTGAAAATGGACTTGACTTGTCATCAGCAGAGAAAATGTGCACTCTGTTTTTATATTTGATCCAACTACATCCTGGCTCCTTCCTCATACCTCTATCTCTCATGGCCCTCCTTAAACGAGCCACTTCAGCCCAATTTCCTTTCACAGCATACATGCTTGTGAGTAAGACATAGCTGGCAGGATTTTCTGGCTCAAGTTCTAAAAGGGACTCTGCTGCCCATTTGCCAATTTCCATGTTACCATGGGTTCTACATGAGCTCAACAGTGTAGCCCAACCAATTGCATCTGGCGTGCAAGGCATCTTCTCTATAAAATCTTTTGCTTCTACTAAACGACCAGCTCGGCTGAATAAATCAATCATGCAAGTATAATGATCAAGAATTGGCGTAATTCCATGTTTTTTCACCATCGATTCAAAATAAACTTTCCCTTCTTCCACAAGTCCTGCCCTACTGCAAGCTGAAAGAACCCCAACAAAAGTTACTCCATCTGGTTGAAGACCATGTACCAGCATTTTCTCAAATAACTCAATTGTTTCGGTTGCTTTTCCAAACTGAGCATATCCTGACACTAATGCTGTCCAAGAGACCTCGTCCTTAACATACATCTCATCGAAAAGCCGGTGAGATTCTTCTATGCTGCCACACTTACCATACAGGGTCACAAGTGCATTAGAAACAGTAATGAAAGATATCAAGCCTGATACTGATGCTCGACCATGAAACTGGGCTCCTTCTTCCAAGCTAGCCAGATTTGCACATGAGCTTATAACACTTCCTAAAGTAAAATCATCTGGCTCAACCCCATTTCTTTGCATATCACAGAAAGCCTTAACAGCTTCTTCGCTATAACCATTCTGTCCATATCCAACGACCATTGCAGTCCAAGAGATGATATTTTTGTTCGACATTCTACTAAAAGTGGTCTCGGCGTACTTGATGTTTCTACACTTGGAATACATGTCAACAAGGGCACTACCTACAAACACGTTGTCGCTGTGAGAGGTTCTGACTATATAAGCATGAATCTGTTTGCCTTCTTCAATAGCCTGGAGGCCTCCACAAGCAGTCAAAATGCTCCCAAAAGTGAACTGGTCAATAGCCAGCCCCTCTAACCTCATTTTCCTAAACAATACAAGTGCTTCCCTATCAAGACCATTCTGTGTTAACCCCGTTATCATCGTTGTCCAAGAAATGGAATCTCTCTCAGGCATATCCTGAAACAAACTTCTCGACTCTCTTACCATCCCACACCTCAAAAAACCCATAATCATCGTATTATACATCACCATATTCCTCTCTGGCAACTCACTGAAAACCTTTTCAGCCTCGTAAATAAACCCTGCTTTGGCATACATATCGACCAAAGGATTACCCACGAAAACATACTCCTCGAATCCACATTTCTTTATCTGCCCATGAATTTGCCTACCCATCCGAATCCAATCATTGTCTGAAGACAATATAATCACTGCCGAAAATGTTATTCTATTCAAACTCATTCTTCCATCTTCTAACATCAACTTATACGCCTTTAACGCATCGATACACAAACCCTGAGATGCATACCCCGAAATAATCAAATTCCAAGACACCCCATCTCGTTTTGGCATCAGATTAAATACCTTCCGCATTTGTACGAAGTTTCCGGACTTGGAATAAACAGAAAGAACGGTATTCCATGAGAACTGGTTTGGTTGGGGAATTTGTTCAAACACTTTGTGTGCATACTCTTTGTTGTTGAGTTTACTATACGTGTTTATGAGATTGTTTAGCAAAAAGGTTTCTGGGTTTGCTATGGTTTTGAGAATGAAGCAATGGAGCTTCTTGATTTGGTTTTGGTTTTGCGCTTCACACCAAAGTTTGAGCAGAGAGCAGTAGTGGTTGGAAATGTGAGACATATTGTTCAAAAGGGAAATTGGCGGGTAGTTGGGCAGTTTTATACTCGACGGATTCGAACTCACGTGGATCGATCACGTGCTATTCTAAGAACAAAAGGAGAGCAATGGCCGATGGCTAAGAAATCACAAAATCTTTTTCCTTTTTTCTTTACAAACTATAACATAGAAGTTATAAAAATTATTTTTTGTTCCAATAAAGTAACTGAGCTTTACTCACTATACAAGTAAAGTTATATAATATTTACGGTTAAAATAACTTAGAGGCAGCAAAATTTGTGACTCTTTAATCTATCGATTCATTTTGTCTTTTTAATATCCTTGATATTTTTCAAATATTTGTTTTGTAATTTGATTGATCTGTTTTGTTCAAAAACAAAGTACAAATAAAACGTGCTTGGACAAGAAAAAATAGTTTTATAGCAAAACAAATCATTCTGAGAATTTGGTAAGTTTTAATTATTATTTTTGCTTTAATATATATATATNTTACAATTAGCTCTTATCATATAGCCCTAACATGAAGTTAATTTAATATATGTTAACGTGAGATGACACTCAAACTAAAAGCTTAAAAATAGAACAAAAGTTAAAGGGAAAAATATTTTTATTGATGAAACATAAAGAAAATGAAACAATAGGTCCCAGTTATCAACTTCGAAAACTTTTCCATTGCTTACTAGAGGAAAAACAAATATCATAAAAAGGTAAAATCTGTTATGAAAATAATTATATTGTGGATGTTCATTTATTACTCCGCTATAGATAATTTTCCTGAAGAAGATTATCCATTTAGTATTCTGTTGAAGTTTATCTACAAGCAGCTGATGCAGGCAGGTTGCAAGCAGCTCAATGAAATGATTTGCAGCAGCTTCTTATTAAACAGACAGCTTACAAGCAGCTAAAGAAAAGCTTTGCAGCTGCTTCCTTTCTTCTATAAATAGAGGAGTCTTCAGTTCATTATGTACATAAGTTTG